TAAAAAATAAGTAAAAGTTAGCAGGTGTGGGTGGTGCACGCCTGTGGTCCGCCGCTACCTGGGAGGCTCGCTGAGCCCAGGAGCAGAGGTGTAGTAAGCAAAACTGCCACCACCTGGTACTCCAGCCTGAGCAACAGGACCGGCCGATTTCGGTCGAAAATAAGTAAATTAAAATTTAAAATTAAGAAATAAAAAAAAAAGGAAAGTTAAAAACAAAATGTAAAGGAACGAAACCACGATGCAGCCCTCACACACAGAAAAAATGATCTGAGGTAGCCAAGTCTTTGAACCGGTATTTGAAAAGATAAACAAAACTTAACATGTTGGCTCCCTGGGAGAGCTGGATCGTTTTAATGGTAATCTTCTTTGCTTCTTCCGGTTTTTCTCTTCGTAAACTATCTTCTGCCTAATTTTAAAGACGAAGCAGTTGGTTAACATTGTTTTCAGAGTTGTAACTTTAACAACATTCACTGTGCAAGTCAGACTCACCTCTTTCTTTTCTCGGGATTCCTCTTCATTTTTGTTCCTATGCCACATCTTTTTAATGTCTTCAACTGTGATTAGAAATAATATTCCACCTCTCATTTTCTTTTGTGGAATCTATCCGTAAATGGTAGGAAATGGTTCTTTTCCTACTGTCATCAAGCCTTGGGTACAGGGAGGAGAAAAAAAGACCAGTTCTTGAACATCGTACAACACTTAAAATCAAAATAACATCTCAAGGTATAAGGCAACTTGGAACAATCTAAGCATAAGACCCCAACAACCAAAAGCTGATTCGGCGAGTGGGACTGGTTGAACATTGAAGCAGGCACCACTGGTGTGGCGTGGGCGATGGTGGTCACGGCCTGTAATCCACAGCACTTTTTGGGAGGCCGAGGTGGGCGGAGCGTCAGGAGTATTGACACCACCGGCTAACATGGTGAAACTCCGTCTCTAACTAAAAAATAAATCTATATACAAAATTAGCTGGGTGTGTGGTAGGCACCTGTAGTCTTCAGCTACTCAGGGAGGCTGAGGCAGGAGAATGGTTGTGAACCCCAGGAGGCAGAGCTTGCAGTGAGCCGAGATCGCGCCACTGCGCTCCAGCCTGGGGCAACAAAGCAAGACTCCATCTTAAGGAAAAGAAAAAACCAAAGAAGCATACTGGCTAAAATCTGAAGCTCTGAGGTCCTCTCACAAACAATTCCAGCAAGTTCGGGCGTACACTATACATTCTCCAGACAAGTAGACTACAAGCAACAGATCTTAAGGCTTAGCAACCAGCAAGATATACAGGACACAGTCTGTACTGATCCCTCCTTTTGTATCACTGAAATTGAAAGAGCCAAACTATCAGTTCCCAAATCAGAATGCTACGCTTTTGTTAAGAGTGACATTCTGCAAACGTTCATCTAAACAGTGTTGCTAGTTTTTGGGAGCTGCACAATGAGGCAACCAACAATCCAGAAATTAAAGATTTCCCCTTAAGAGTGGTTAAAAAGTAAAACCCAGCCAGGAGTGGTGGCTCACACCTGTAGCCCCAGCACTTTGGGAGGCCAAGGCAGCAGGACTGCTTAAGCCCAGGAGTTTAAGACCAGCCTGGGCAACATTTGTAGACCTCCTATCTACAAATAAGAAACAAATTAGCTGGGTGTGGTAACATGCCCCTGTGGTGTGGGCTACTTGGAAGGCTGAGGTGGGAGGATCCCTTAAGCCCAGGGTTGAAGCTGCAGTGAGCCATGATGGTGCTACTGCACTCCAGCCTGGGCACGGGCAACAAAAGTAAAACACGATCCCTGTCTCAGAAAAAAAAAAAAAAAAAAAAATTAAAAAAAACAAGTTGTACCCAATGTTCAAACCCGACACACCAAAGTCATCAACCATAAAATGGTTAAAAAATTGACTTTTCTAACAAGAGGAGAAGACGGAAGAAAAAAACGCCTTCCCAGGTTTTAGGAGGACTCACAAAGTAAAACTAATAAATTTTTGGTTTTTTGTTTAAACAAAGCAGTTTAAACAAAAGGGAAAAGGCAAACAGAAAAAAAAAGGACAGGGTCAAGGCAACGCCGCTCTTCTAAACAATTACTTTTTTTTTATCAAAAGGAAGGAACTTTCCTTTTGTTTGTTTTGGCC